TAGAGACTGCAAGGTATATGTAGGAACATCTAGAGACATAAAATTACATCTAATCACTGTAATTTGTCTTTGTTGCTGCAGCCTCAGGATGAAACAGCGTAGAAAGACATCAAGGAGGCTGTATTAGGATTAGTACGCTTGTTCAAGGTAATGAAGGACATGCAGAGATTGTCCACACATATTCGTTCATTGTGATGAAGTTATTTTCGTGAACAAAAATAAGTGTAATTTAATGCCACACTTGCTTCTCTTTCAGTAATTTCATTCTATTTTTGCAGATGAAATTGTTTCGTAAACCTCAAGAACGAGCCGAACGAATATTCAATATATTAGTGTACCACATAAAAACTCATTATGACAATGGCTATCGGACGTATAGTGCATCGGAAATACGGCTTTCGGTAAGGCAAATTCAATTTATTTCTCGCGATTTTTCTATGATGTCTCACATTGTGTTTTCTTAAAGATTCTTCAATGTTTCCTCAGTCTGCGAGCTGACAACGTCTAGGCCTTGTGCAAGACAAAAGTAGAAAAGTTTAATTCACTTCGTATTTTGTTTGTTCTGAAAGTTGGTTAATGACGATAGTGCCACGTATGTCAGGTATTCTGCTTCCAAAATCCTTTTCTTGTTTGCGTAATACATTCTCATTTTTGTTTTAGTTCTGCAGAAGATAAGACAAACGGGATTGTTTCACTGCCTTACAGCGAGGCGATGAATGTTATTCTTGTGTGCTTACAACAGGTAAACTTTTCTATCATTATATCATCTGCATTAAGTTTCGATTGAAGTTCAACTTTCTTCATTTTCTAGGAATTGGAATGGGAGGTGTTGGATGTTGTTCTGAGGAACTTTCCAGAGGCACTGCAAGATAAAAACTTGATACTTTCTGGAAAGCAATATTTACGTTCAATATCTACAGTCTTCTCTAAAATGGGAAGGGAAGTGAAGTTGTGTACTTTTCACACCAAAATCATGAACTAAAAATTTTACTTTGCATTCAGGTTTCAAATTACGATTTTCTTCCTGGATTATTTCGTGTTCCTAACGATATGCGCCGACCTCATTTGTACGCTAGAATTTTTCCAGTACGGTTCTTATCAATCAGTTTTTTGCATATATCATAATATCTTACCATAATTATACCAAAACCATTCCATACCATAACCATACCATATCATATAATCATATCATATAATCATATCATATAATCATATCATATAATCATATCATATAATCATATCATATAATCATATCATACCATAACTAACCATAACTAAATCATACCATACGATAACCATATCTTACCATAATAATATCACACCATACCATACCATAACGAAATCATACCATACCATAACCATGCATATCATACCATAATTATATCATACCATACTAATGATTTAATTGGATATTTTATTGTAACACGTGCAGGTATTAACGGAGCTGTGTACGTACCACATTTTTATTGGTCAAGATGAGCAGGTAAGAATCTGCGTTAATTTTTTTTCAGCGGTTGTCTGTTCTTGCTTAAACGTTGTTGTATATTTCGTCTAGTGTTGTCTGATGCGTACTTGGTTGCTCATTTCGCGACGTTAAGCGTATCTTGTCTCACCGTATGTATGTTAGAAATGCCTTCAGTTATGGCAAGGTATGGCTACTTAAAATAGTCTGGAATTTGAGACGTTTTTTTATTTCCATTAGCACTTTGTAAGAATGAAGTTGATTTAAGTAGTTGCAGCGTTTTAGAAGTGTATTTCTTTGGAGATATTTGAAATCGTGCCTTGATAATGTGCTCAGTGAATTTACAGAAACGTTTTTCAATAAACTCCAGCCTAAACGTAACGTCTCTTGTGATGCGAGATAGTCCTTCACAAATATATGATTTTTTAAGTAATAATTACTACATTTTCTGTCCTTAGACTGCTCCCACAATATCTGGAAAAGTTTACTAAACTTTCGCCAACGTCTCAAGTTGCCATACCACTGCTAGAATTTCCCTCTGGTATGTTTCTTGAAGTTACGTAAATTATCAAATCTGTTACAAAATATCAATGTACCCCCTAAAGAGAGCTAGGTTGTGTAAACACACAATCGTATTCGGCGAAAAGTTGGTAACATTCTTTTAAATCGTTTAAATCGCATTGTAACAGCTTTGTGCTTTGTACAAAAACTTCACAGCGATCCAGTTGAAACAAGTCTTTGGAATATGTTTGCCTTACACAGAATCATCGAAGTTGGCTCAACGCGATAACATCTGAAACTTTTTATTATTGGTTTTGTCAAAATGATTAAAATATAAACGAACTGATATGTTTCACCTTAGATACTCTCAATACACTGTAGCTCTTGCTGATAATGTCATTTCATCCTGGTTTGTCAACTGTCCGCTATTGTTAAGAAAACAATTCGTGCCATTTATTACGAAAGTAAGTCCACATGTCATTCTATTGCCAGGGGGATTGCTTGCTGAATTTTCAATAGATATATTTGCAAGAGCGACCAAGTTTTAATATTCTTCTAGTGAAAGCTCTTAGGAACGTATTTGTCATTTCCAGGCTTCTTCAATTGATAGAAAAACTCGTTCAGATGATTCTAGCCAGGTGCCAAACACAAAATTTGATACCAAAGCATCTGACCTTCTTACCCGCGATTTAAAGCCCACTGGTACAGTAGGCTCAGTACAGAAATCTTGTGACTCAAACATCTTGTGACGACCAGCGGTGGGAAAGACTGAGATTTATGAAAGTTTAATTCCAAAACAACTCTTTGGTAAGCCCATTTATTTTCTCAGTCAAATTGTGCTCTGAATGTTTTCGCCCACAACTTGTCAACGATGGGTCAAACCTGTTCAATGTTTCGGTTGGGCATTCCGTTGGCGGAATGTCAAATTGATATTGTTGTATTTCAGATGATTTATCGGCCGAACTCATTAAAGAAGGAGCCAGACAACGCCTTGAAACTACAACAGAACTTCTTAGCAAGAGCACAGACAGCGTACATTGATTGTAAATCTTGTCAAAGATCGCCTCGCATCGTGTAGAGAAGATGAGGAAACTAATATTGAAGATACCCGGGATGATGTTGAAATGAAGAAAACCGAACTCAAGGAGTCAGGTTTGTAATGCTAAAACAGATCGGCCATTGTTCGCGCATTTACGAAATGAACAAATTATCTGCCTGCATTTTAGACAGCGCAGAACAAAAGATGCTGCTTACAGAACACGGCAGATCTTCACCCTCGTCGATTTTATTACAAGATTCCGGTCAAAAGTTGAATCTTGGTTCGGCATTTGTTCAACGAACTCGATATTTGAGTCGTAGTCCGAGATATGGACCAAGCGCTTTTATGGTAAGAATTTCTATTCAAACTCGCTTTGCATGAAATTTATTTCGTGCAAGAACATTCACTATCCATCCCTTACATTGCTACTAACATGACTGGCAGGGGAAGCAGAAAAGAAAGAGATCTTTGATTTAGACTAGCTTTTTCATTTTACAATCGTTTCAGATTGATGTCGTACCAGGTTCCAAACACACTGTTTTACACAAGGAAGAAACTGAAGGCAAGCGACATTACCTTTGCAATATGGAGGAAATATATATTATAATATGACTATATTTACCAATTTTTCTTTCACAGGGAACAGTCAAGGCTTATTAACTCGTGAAGAGTTTCAAAAGGTAGCAATTTTAAGATCACGAATCATCATCGTGCATTAATCTCAACATCTGTTTAATTTTAGCCTGTTCCTGGTAAATCCCTTCTGGATGCAAGTCCTTTGAAAACTTTTTTGAGTTAAGACGAGGATAAACTTAATGAATCCGTAAGTCAAGTAATAATAAAGATAAATTGGTCTTACGGATTATTAAATACTGAGCATTATAAACCGGTAAACTCAGAAACCGGTAATCTCAATTTTGCACTTCGAATTACGTAATTTAATCCTTGTTGTTGAAGGTGAGGACTTGCAACGTTACTTATTTATTACAGGGTTACGATAGCGTGGGGAATTCAGGGGTCGGTAGACTTAGGGAAAGACACTCGTAATATAATAGATTTTACAAAATATATCCTTAGGTTTTCCTATGAGTTACAATAAAACCTTTACAATTGTTCATTGATGAGCTCAGAATGTTTCGTTATCACGTGGCCTATGCACGACTCTTAATGGTTACTGTTAATCTGTTGTAACCACCTGCTGTACTGGTACGATTATTATCACATTTTGTTTGAGCTTTACATACCCGGGGAAAACACTCAGCCACGTCGAGGTTATTAGCTAATTCCAACAGCTTGTCGTAGTATTCATTGTGGAATAAATCTACAGAGGCACGTAGTTTTGCCATTTCATCCTTTAAAAGATTAATCTGTTTTATTGATTCCGCAATATCGATTTTTTTTTCTTCTTTAATTGGACCGTCAATGACAAAGTATGATCCAGAACATGTTGGGTGATAATGAGAGCAGCCATAAATTCAAATTTCTCCACGTTGCGTCACTAGCTAATCTAGGAAATGGCCCTTCCTGCGATCCTCCAAACTGCATAAAATTGAGTGTTTCGTAGATAACTTTGAATGCATCCAAACAACCATCGCGGGATCTTATTCGTTCTACCCATCGTGTCGTGGAAGGCTTTGCGAGCTTGTTACGGGTTAAACCAAACTCTTTCATCTTTTTACTTAGATACTGTGAGCGGATAGGGAAACTGATAAAAAAGCTGGCGATATTTTGTGCCTGACTCAAAATATTTTTCACTGGAAGAATTGAACACGCTTTGGCAACAATAAGGTTTAAACGATGACTGGAGTAATGAACATGCAACGCCTTCGGGTTTTTCTCTAATATTCTCCCAGAAATACCTTTTACCTGGCTGGACACAGCACTAGCACCGTCATATCCCTGGCCTCGACAATTTTGAAGGGAAGCCCGACATCTTGAAGTGTACTTTGACTAATGAACGGAATCAAATCCAAAGGCGAAACAATTCGGTATACAAATGAAAATGTTCTTGAATCATGTAAAACTTCAAATTTATTCAAGGTATGTTATATAATTAATAATGCATAATATATTTTCGAAATATTATAAATTTGAACTTAAAATCAGTGTCTACCGTCTACTTTTTTGCGTATTATAAAAGTAGCAAGCAAATGCAAATGACCATAAACCCGGCATTATTTTAGAAATTCGAAATTTTGACAGGATATAATTTTGTAGTTTTGATAGTTTATAAACCCCAACAGCCAAACAATTTTATGATACTTATCCCTATATTGATCATTAAACCCTATAGAATGTATTAAATTATCCAGAAAGTATAAGCTTGGAGTTATCATTAAAAAGTGCCTTGCACCAGGTGAACTATATTTATTCAAATCTATTTACTAATTATTGTATTTTACTAATTTTGTATTTACTAATTATTGTATTTACTAATTATTGTATTTTACTAATTTTGTATATACTCATGTGTATGTTATAATGATAATAATATAACAATAGAGTTGATGTTCGCGGTCATAAATGTGTTTTTGGCCCGACTTCGAACTCATTTTAGCCCGAGCGTAGCGAGGGTTAAAATGTGTTCCGCGAGGAGGGCCAAAAACACATTTATGCCCGCGAACATCAACTCTATTACTATAATATATAATAAACTATAAACTATTATTACTATAATATATGTTCAACATCGTCAGCCTTCATCCCCTTAGCTCAGTAAGTCATGCGACATTCCATGTCAGTTCCAGTAATTGTTCATCTCAGACCTTGAAAGAAAAAAAACAAACACTCCAAACACTCCAAACACTCCAAACACTCCAAACACTCCAAACAGTCCAAACACTCCAAACACTCCAAACACTCCAAACACTCCAAACACTCCAAACACTCCAAACACTCCAAACACTCCAAACACTCCAAACACTCCAAACACTCCAAACACTCCAAACACTCCAAACACTCCAAACACTCCAAACACTCCAAACACTCCAAACACTCCAAACACTCCATGTCTTCTGACCTGGATTCAAGTTTACTGCTTTTATCATCTTTTTTATTTCACGTTTCCATTTTGAACATGTCCAATTGCAAAAAAGTATCCAGCCGACTTAAAATAGTTTTATTTTTGCAGTTACTTTCCAGAATATACCGTTTGGTTAAGACTTGTGTATTATAGTATATCATAGTTATAAAACTTCTTTTTCTGTCAGATATTTTCAATAATTAGCTATCGAGACCATCCTCAGTTGTTCGGGCTGGAATATACAAGCGGTCAGCTAAAAAATTACTCGTCTCCCGACAGGTAGTTTAAAAAAGCAGATTTTGTATGAAGCTATATAAAATATTTCTTGTTCTGAATGCTTGTATTTCACTCAATCTAGGGACATATTATTAGCAGGTTAGCTACACGGGGTTAGAGGCAGTGGAAATGGAGATGTTTGTGTAAAAACGACCCCAACGAAGAGACGGTACTGTACGCTTTTTCATAGATGATTGAGCGAAAATAATGGTCAAAATTTTCCTGATGAAAATCTCGCACTGCTATGATTGCCGTAAATACGAACCCTCATTTCATTCTCCTCTCCTGACGTATGGGATCTTATATAACACACAAACAATTACACTTCTCGTCAGGTATTCCTATTATTCAGTCCAATACATCACATACAGCAAAAGAAGAATTGTTTTTTTAAGATGATATATTTTTCAAGGTTATCGTTGGGCTCCATTGTATAACGTTGTTGACGAAGAAGTAGATAGCAGTCATTTAAAATTCCTCGCTGCGTCTCCAGGTGAAATATTTCTCTTTTTATTTCACTTTAAATTTTTGAAACATCTCCAAAAGCTTATATTGTCTTATTACTGGTTCCTTGCAGGAAATTTAACCGAAGATGTGTAGAGATTTAACTGCAATATTTCCTACAGCGGTCTACTTCATGCAGTCACCCAAGACGTAAGTTGACAATTTCTTATTTTGTACTTTTCTGCAGACAAAATCCTGTGTAGAGAATATTATTGCATTTTTACTGAGTTTTAATGTTCCGTCAAAATCTGGATTAAGGCTGTTTTCCACTCACGTGTTTTTCATACGCACGTTAGTTTTCTGCATATTTTAGTATGCATTAGTTGACCTAGATTTACAAAAATAATCGTTATAAAGGAAGCGAGAATAATTTAAATTGGCAGAAGCTTATTATAATCATAACCATGTACGTACGGACTCGAGTTTACTTGATAGTCGATAGCGTCAACAGCAAATGACATTGAAACGTTTGTATGAATATTTCGAAGTCCTGACAGTATAATTAATATCCCGTAGGTTATTTCAAGCAAATATTTGACTAGCGACGTCGAACAAGGCCAGTTAACCGCGTCGTGGATCGTAAACTGACCTCAATACAGAAAGTGGGGACAAAAAGTCCCCACTTTAGCCAAAATACAAAACATTTCGTTCTAGGCCTCTCAGTTCCCGCCTCGCCGCGTATAAGGAACGTTAAGAGGCCTAGGGACTACGCTGCGGTAACTCTGGTTGCTGAGTTGACTGGGTCCGAATCCATGAAATGGTAGATTTGAAATTTTCTCGCAGAAGTACGGCTGGAATATTAAGTCTTTTAAACTCCAATATATATTTCAAACGATTTTAAATATTTTGTAAGGACTTTTCCCGGAGAATAAAGAAAGACTTATCATTAATGCCATCACAATGCTCATTGCTCACGAAGGTATATCTTTGCCAATAAATATATTTAGTGTTCAACCCTAAAATATACATATTCTGACTGCTATTACCTTCACAGGTGTTCATTATATACATAAAATAGTTAAAATGTCTCGTCTATTTGCAGGAGACCAAAACAAAATATCAGATAAAGATCTCGAAGCACTGTTTCACGCTTTGAGACATTAGGTTGGATCCAAAGCAGGTTTCACAACGCTCACTAGGTGAGAAAGTTTATCTTTAACCATAACACACGCTGTTTACTCAACCAGCTCACTTTCTCTAGACCGTGTTTCTGTTTTGTTTTTACAGCTTCTATGAGAAGGTTGGTGTGAAAACTGTGAAAGCTTTGAAGAGGAATAATGAAGCCGCGACTCACGACGCTGTCGACATGCTGTGTGCTCTGATGCAGGTAAAGAGAGGGCTTTCCTTTAAGCGGCCAAAATGGTCAGACCGGTCATATTTAAATTTAAAATAGAGTATTTCGTTAAGAATATAGTTGCGAAATTTCCGAGCTAGACAGATGCAAGTAACGATATACTTGAACGCAGAGTTCTTGAAACACTCTAAAATACCAGTAATCTGTCTGTACCGAGATCAACAATAGGACCGGTCTAGCCGTTTTTTCCGTATAAAGGAAAGCGCCAACACTTTAACGATGAATTTCCTGGTAATATGTTGCCAAATCTGTCACTGTCATTAGTGTTACCCCTTTAACTTGCAATCCACATAAACTCAGCCAACTTTGAAATCTGAATGTTAACAGGATCCATATTTATCGAAACCAATTCTGTTTTTTTATATAGCCAACGCACGATAACTATGACATTCGACAAGAACAGATAAACAAAAGGTCTTTGTTATCCTCTGAAAAATTTCTAAGCAGTTTGTTGGAAATTCTCACGATAAATGTGGTAAGATGTGCGGTGTTGGTTGCCTATAATCTATGCTGAACCCTTGCATTTTATTTTCCATCCCTCTTGTATGTATATAGCTTTGTTTTGGAAAGAAATTCCCTTGCAAAACCCAGCAAGTGATTCGTAGCAACTGCCTTTCTAATTTGAACTACCTTTCTAACTAAACACAAGAAATAGATTGACCATGAAAACTTTTCTTCTATATTCGTTCTACGGGGGTTTTAGTTATAAGTGGATTGCTTGATTTTCTGACGTTTGCTCTGTGTCCTCCTTACAGGTTTGTTCTAGTTGCTTTGCAATAAATTAAAATAACACGGGGGTGAAGTTGGACATTCATGTTAAACTAATAGTAAGGTGTGATTGCTTCCAATATTTTGAATCAACTCATGTAGTCTGTTACAATAAATCGACTATTGCATATTCCTCTTAGTGAGACAACAGATGATGAACAGTTTGGGAAATTACTGGAGAAAGTTGCAGGTATGCTACAAAGAAATTTGAGGAGCTTTTCATTCAACTTGTCTTCTTGGTAGTTTATGGCTCTTTGACTGAGGTTGAGAGTTGATTAAATAGCCTTTCTCTCTTTACCTTTTTGGTGAAGTTTACCACGTCCACTAGCTTGACCCATGCATAGGAGCAACTCATGAAGTCTGTTATTTGTTTGTCTAGAAATGGGTCATTGCATTTATCGATTGTTCCAGGTAGGTTTACGACAAAACTAAATAATAGTACCAATTTTACCATTTCTTCGCTTATGTATGTTTTACTATTGCCCCGCTAATGGTTCTTACCAATCGTGGTTTTGAATTCGTTCCTCAACAATTTCAGCATCCGTCGACAACAATTGTGAAAGGTGCTGGCATGGTTCTGAAGGCGATAATCGAGGTACGTTTTATTCATTCATTCATCCATTGAGAATTTTCTGCCTTTGACGAACGTCATTTATAACGTTCTGCATTTTTTTAGCCGTGATTAATGTACATATTAGTTCAGTTGATATTTAAGAGGTTTTAAAGGGTCTTAATTTTGAGAGGTATTATACACACTTCAAATCAAGCCAGAAACAGATGACGGAAAAATGAGTGAACTATAGATCCTCCGGCAGGAATCGAACCTACGCTTTTGCGATGCCGGTGCAATGCTCTTGTCACTGAGGACGTACAGTTGACTCATTTTTCCATCAACTGTTCCCTGCTTGAATTTGAAGTGCGTATAATACCACTCGAAATTAAGACCCTTTAAAACCTCAAGAATATTCCTGCATCGTGTGAAGTGCCTAAAATCATCTGTTAATATTTAGTTAGAACTTCACTTTAGGAAGCTGATGAAGAAACCGCAGCAAAAATACAAGTTCTGGCGCTTGCCGAGGGCGCTCTACGAAAACGCTTACGCATGGCCATGTTTACGCAAAGCAATTATAGACGTTCGCTATTGAACAGGTGCGAATTAGTGTGATAAATTAACAAATTGTTGCAGAGGTATAGCCTCTATTCCATCCGCAGGACCTGAGTTGTATTTTAGCAACATTCTCAGATTCATCTTTAAACTTGTGATTTTATAATCCTCTATATACTAGCCATCTGTAAATAGTTCAATTGAGACTAACAAGCATACTCCATAAGTAATTTATAATCATTATTGTTGGCATAGCATCATCCAACAGCAATGGCATTACTTGCGAGAATAATGTTCGTATTAAAGTAGTTATAGTTTTTAATGTCTAAAATATACAAGAAAGTTTAAATGCGAGATTTCCTGTTCATAATTTTTTGTTCATAAACAATTATGTAATAAATTTGAATACGATTTTCACAGCCTGCTGGTTTGCTCTATTACCTTGAAAGCCCTGACGAAGTAAGAAATCTTTGAAAACTTTTTTGCGAGGGCCATTATTTACATAAACCCATTGAGGTGATTCTGACTAACCAATCGTATTCATGACTAAGTGGTATCAACTGCTTTGGTAACTAAACTCCATCATTCATCCTTAAACTGTGCCAACTGCCCCACTGAGGAAATAATTAAATGGTAATTCATTCAGAAGTGTAAAACCTTTTTGTAAAAAAACAATTTTGTTGGAAAGTTTTTATCTTTCCTTCAGCCACCAGAGACTGAAGAAGATCGTTTATCAATTCGTGACAATGTAAAGCTTGCAGAAGTACGTTTTAAATCAACAATCGTGTTCCAAAATTTCATAATGCATGCTTACATGTACGTATAAGCCTGTTATTTCACGTGCTATACTTGTGTCTTAGAGCTCTGGAAAAACGAGGGGAACGTTGAGGAATCAACTTGAAGGATATCTCTCGCATTCGAGGACAAAAATAGGATTCAAATCCAGGAAAGATGTGAGAATTTAAATCCAGTTTTTTTATTACAAGTAAGTGTTCATATAAGAAAATGGGAAAATGTTCTAGTCGTTTGAAAGATGAAAAAGCAATGATATTTAAGCGGATCTTTTTTACAGATTCAGTCAAGATCTGACAGCGTACAACCTGATTTGGAATTACAAGGTGAGTCTCGAAGTTAAGGTTAGTTTCCGTTGAAAATATAGGAAATGGAAATGTAATGGAGGATTTCCTGTCGCTATGAGTATAACAAGACAAATTCAATAGTCCTGACCTCTTTCTCTAAACTGTTCTCGTAAAAGAGTATGAAACAATTTCTTATGTTTTCAATGTGACAGACGCGAGAGGAACTTCTGGGGCACTCGAATCTGATTTACACGCATTTGCAATGGAAAAAGATCTGAGTGGAAACTACGTTGTCTTTTGGAATCACCTTTAGTTTGAAGTCCTGTATGAATGTTTAGCTGATGAACTGAAATAGGTTAGTGATAAGCCTAACTGCTCTAGCTTTTTAACAGTTCTTCATAAAGCGTCCCCCCTTATTCCTCGATAGGAATCAAACTCAGTAACGTATCTCTGCTATCAGGTGACTATTATTTGAGAGTCTTGTTGGAACAAAACGACGAGGAGACGCCGATAACAAATGTGTGAGTCCACGACATTTATCTATCAGGGTTTGCAAATATTCAAACTACTTTCCATGTGCTTTTCTGTCTGGCTTCCCCCTATTCTCTATATTGCTGCACAGTTCACGCAATGTTATTTCCCTGCAGAATGTAGTAGAGAAGTATAGAATCATGGATGAAACCATTCAAGATTCGATCGACTTTTCTATTTTGTTTTCAGGCTCGAGTTGTCTAACGATCTGTATCACTGATTCCTATTGACAACTAAACCAACTATGAAAGCAATGTGCCTTCAGGTGAGGATGTCGTTTAGCGCGAATGTAGCCATGTGTAGCCTTCGAAGAATGAATTAAACAAATTGGAATATTTCATTCACAGGCGATGACTAAAGTTTATGGAAAATAACACGAAGAGATTGGAGCTTTTAATGACACCAAGCTAAGGATCATCTGTTATTGATCCAGTGTTACTGCAGGAGCCTGAACTAAACTAACTTTATTCATACTGTTTCGTATTTTTAGCATTTACATGAAAATGGCATCACTAACAGGGATTGGAAGGTAAGCACGCCCTAATTTATTTATCACTACTGTCTTTATATCCTAAACTTTAACGACCATAATTTAACTTTTTCTTCTCTAGCCAGAAAATGTTTTATTGTGTTCCTCGTATGACGAAACGCTTATAAAGGTTTGTGTCGGTTGTGTATTGAACTTGTGTTTAAATTGCCCTTTAAATTGTCTTTGAAGAAACCATTCGATGTGACCATTGCCAGCAAATCCTGGAAGTCACTATAATCTCAATTCCGAGTTTTGTCCGTGATTTCGTTTTACGAAAGCAGAGCGCATTCTGCAAACGTTTTAGGTTCAGTTATTTCTCATTGTTACAATTTCTCAATGATAACAATTAATTTTTTAGATCAGAATTCCTATATGGAAACACTCTGTGGTACACCAAGTTACCTCGCTACCAAAATGTTAATCCCGTAGCCTGAAGAACGATCCTACAAGAAATCGTGTGTGTATATGTTTGGTATGCCATATACTTCAGTTTACTCAAATTCACGTAGTGAACACGATTTGTAATGAAGCTGGAGGTAGCTTAACCTCATTTCAAAATTGGAGTACGTCAATGAAAAGTTAACGTCTTTTAGACTTTCCGGATCTTCTTTATTTTCAAAGCAGGCAAATAACCCATTGGAGAAACAAGTCAAAGAAGGGTCGTATAAATTTCCGAACAACCTCTGGAAGAATGTTAGCAGTGAAGCTAAGGATCTTATAACAAAACTGCTTACTGTTGGTCACAGAAAATGCATCACGGTTTCAGAAGCTCTGGAACATCCTTGGATGAAGGTGATGATGAAATTACTAACCGCCTTATAACACCCCGCATCTAAGATTTTTCAAAATCGGCTGACCTTTTTCGTCTGAAGTCCCAGCTTTTTCGAATTGTTAGAATTAGTTTGGTTGAAGTTTAGAACTGATACAGCTATCCAGCATAAATAAAGTCAGTTTAGTTCAGGTTTCCTCCTGTAGTAACACTGGATCAATACGGGATGACCCCTACTGGACCTCCATGAAGGACAATTTAGAACTGATAGAACTATACGGTATAAATAAAATTAGTTCAGTTAGGAGAGAAAGCTTTTAAAAGTGTTAGATTGATCCACGATTTAACAAGTTTTTGTCTTTTGTAGGATAAAGAAATGATAGAAAAAGCAGAAAAAATGATAAAACCGACCGTGGATGGAAGATCAATGTCTCCGCCCTTATAAAAGGTATGTTGAAAACTACGATACTTGTCCCGTTCTACCGTCCAATGACCCTTATTTTCAACTCGCAATTGCAATGAAACATTACATGTTTGCAAGTTACATCGAAATTTAACCAGCTTTCCGAAACAATCTCAAGGCGCTGTTACACTACGCAACTTTCCTTGCAAATTGCAAAACCATTCTACTCCTGAGGCATCTAAAGTTGTCAAATACGAACATCTATTACGATCTGCTAACGTTTCCTTAGTATTTCGAACACTCTTTAAAATTAACATCCTTCGGAATTATAATTGCATTGCAAGTTGTAAGGAAAATTGCATATTGTATAGTAGCGCCTTCAGTAAAGTTGAAAACTCACCGTGCAATGAAACATTGCATGTCGGCAAGTTAAAAGGCAGAAAATAACTGTCACCGTACATGGTGAAGACTGGCCGACGGTCACGTTCAGCAGACGAGGCTCTGCGAGCAAATAAATACTCAGTGGCGTAGCCAGCACGACAATTTAGCAGCATGACTGAAAATGCTTCATGTAAGATCACATCACTAGTTATTCCGATAAATAAAAGAACAGGGGCCGGTTGTTCGAAAGGTGGATAAGTCGCTATCCAACGGATAACTCACTATCCAACGGATAAGTTTTATCCAGCGTGTGATTTGGGTTGCACGAAGCTTGTATAACTTTATCCAGAGGATAAAAATCGCTATCTACCGGATAAATTTATCCAAGGTCCGGAGGTGGTTTAAATCCACTATCCAGTGGATAAATTCAAAGATACAAGGTAACACTGTAAACATTTATATAAAATAGGACAAAAATGCAATATTCCTCTTACTGTGTTTCAACAAACTAATACACATCATGATTGTATTCACTATATATTAAAAATGTTTTCGAAGTGCAATTTGTCGCAGCAGCGTTTCACGTTGCCTACACATTCCGTTCGACCGGCGATTTTTTGGACATCCTCGCATTTATAACAGGTGGTAAATTTACTATACGCTTCTAATCAGTTTATAAACGCGAATATGCAAAGAAAGATTCAACCTATTCCAAGGAAACTTGCTAATATCTAAGTAATTTCATTCACGAACATTAAAATAGTGTTTCTAAATTTGCTATTGGACCGAAAGGCAAAGCGTTGCAAGGTCAAGGAATAAAATTGCAATGTGTTTAATTAATAAAATCACTATGATGTGAAGTGCAAAGTTCGAGCAAATCACTTGTTCAAGCTTTTCCATTCAGTAACTATACTCGAGAATTCGTAATGATTATGAATTCAATGTTGTAAATGCTTAGCAACAGCTGACGTTGTGGTACGAAATTTCAGAATAATACTGTTTTCTTCTGGTAAATTTTAACTTATCTATTGGGTAGCTATCCACTTCACTATCCACGCTTCCTGCAACGCGTTTTTATCCAATGGATAACTATCCAGATTTATCCGTTGGATAGGACTTATCCGTTGGATAAGTTATCCATCTTTCGAACAACCGGCCCCAGTTCCATACCTATACTTTTGTACGTGTGAAACTTTTCGCTTGATTTTCTTTTAATTGTGAGAATCCGACCGTGCAGCAAACATTGAAATAAAGCGATAACACTAAACTTGATTGTGATAGCCCTGAGTATATACCGCTATAATAGCTTTGTTCCTCATAATGATATGCTGGATTCCTCGTCCAGGTATAACTTCTAAAACACGCCTTATTTTTACTTGTATTCCAATGCACCTAAGTTAGTAAAAAACCTGACAAACCCGCTGGTAGGGTGTAAAGAATTTATTTCTAAATCAAAAACTCGCTCTTACATAAGCCACTTATTGAAAAATTTTCGCTATATATTTCAGTCAGATGGATCTCTCAGTCATTTCTCATTCCTTAGTGAACAAATAGTATTTCAGTGAATTGCTAGAACATACCTGAAAAACAGCTATAAACTTCAATTCTCAAAGATATGTTGCGTACCATGTCTTTGGATGAATGCGGATGTAAAGCGCGGTTACAGTTGGTGATAGGACATTTTCCCACCAGGCGAGTCTCTAATGAAATGAATAATTTGTTAAACAATTAATCTTAATCACACATTAAAAGTTATATATGACCGCATGGAAATGATGTGATGCATATAACGTGACAGGGTAATCTGTAGAAGCCTTGCTTATTAATCCAGCTAACCCTGACTAGTCCATTTATTTTGTAATGATCGAATTTTTGCCCGTCGGAACTACAGGACACAGAATAGGTCTTCACCCACTAATTATAATCACGACGACTTTGAGTGAAATCGCTCCGACAAACATCTTTCTTGCCGAATGCATTTGGTCCTGGTTATTTTTCCGTGCAGACCAGGAAGCTGCCTCATTTAAGCGACCATGTCCTGTCGACTTATCCGCATTCCCAACACTTGTTGCTATTATCTGGGATGTTATGTGTCTTCAGTACGTGGGCCAATAATTAGTATCAATTATCTTCTGGCACCAAAACACCATCGAACAATCATCAACAAAAATGAAATGATAATGCATATAATTTTGCCATACACGGCTCCTCCAGAATTGAAACCAGTCGAGGTACAGCGTTATTTCCATTGATTTTGTGAAATCTTTACTTGGGGGTTAACATCGAATTTTATCACATTCCCATATAGGGGAATTACTGAATAAAAAAATAATGTCCAACAGTCCTAATATGACATAATAATAAACTGAACATATACCATGTAGCCTGCAATATTTACCTTGCTTGGTATGTCAGTCCATCAAATCCATGTATGGCACAGCGATGGATGGAGGTGTAGTCAGTGATAAGAGAAAGGTAATAATTGTTAGCAACTCCTGGGTTGCCATACTTTATTTGATCTAAAATTGAAACACAAGGAACAAGTAAATTATTATATTATTGTCCAGGGTTGTGAGGCTATCAGCATTGTGATATCCCAGGTTCATGCGTACCGCTACCATGGGACAACATTCCTTAGCGAACAAATAGTATTTCAGTGAATTGCCAGAACATACCTGAAAACGCCATAAACTTCAATTCTCAAAGATATGTTGCGTACCATGTCTTTGGATGAATGCGGTTGTAAAGCGCGGTTACAGTTGGTGATAGGACATTTTCCACCAGCGAGTCTCTAATGAAATGAATAATTTGTTAAACAATTAATCTTAATCACACATTAAAAGTTATATATGACCGCATGGAAATGATGTGATGCATATAACGTGACAGGGTAATCTGTAGAAGCCTTGCTTATTAATCCAGCTAACCCTGACTAGTCCATTTATTTTGTAATGATCGAATTTTTGCCCGTCGGAACTACAGGACACAGAATAGGTCTTCACCCACTAATTATAATCACGACGACTTTGAGTGAAATCGCTCCGACAAACATCTTTCTTGCCGAATGCATTTGGTCCTGGTTATTTTTCCGTGCAGACCAGGAAGCTGCCTCATTTAAGCGACCCTGTCCTGTCGACTTATCCGCATTCCCAACACTTGTTGCTATTATCTGGGATGTTATGTGTCTTCAGTACGTGGGCCAATAATTAGTATCAATTATCTTCTGGCACCAAAACACCATCGAACAATCATCAACAAAAATGAAACGATAATGCATATAATTTTGCCATACACGGCTCCTCCAGAATTGAAACCAGTCGAGGTACAGCGTTATTTCCATTGATTTTGTGAAATCTTTACTTGGGGGTTAACATCGAATTTTATCACATTCCCATATAGGGGAATTACTGAATAAAAAAATAATGTCCAACAGTCCTAATATGACATAATAATAAACTGAACATATACCATGTAGCCTGCAATATTTACCTTGCTTGGTATGTCAGTCCATCAAATCCATGTATGGAACAGCGATGGATGGAGGTGTAGTCAGTGATAAGAGAAAGGTAATAATTGTTAGCAACTCCTGGGTTGCAATACTTTATTTGATCTAAAATTGAAACACAAGGAACAAGTAAATTATTATATTATTGTCCAGGGTTGTGAGGCTATCAGCATTGTGATATCTCATGTTCATGTGTACCGCTACCATGGGACAACATTCCTTAGCGAACAAATAGTATTTCAGTGAATTGCTAGAACATACCTGAAAAACAGCTATAAACTTCAATTCTCAAAGATATGTTGCGTACCATGTCTTTGGATGAATGCGGATGTAAAGCGCGGTTACAGTTGGTGATAGGACATTTTCCACCAGCGAGTCTCTAATGAAATGAATAATTTGTTAAACAATTAATCTTAATCACACATTAAAAGTTATATATGACCGCATGGAAATGATGTGATGCATATAACGTGACAGGGTAATCTGTAGAAGCCTTGCTTATTAATCCAGCTAACCCTGACTAGTCCATTTATTTTGTAATGATCGAATTTTTGCCCGTCGGAACTACAGGACACAGAATAGGTCTTCACCCACTAATTATAATCACGACGACTTTGAGTGAAATCGCTCCGACAAACATCTTTCTTGCCGAATGCATTTGGTCCTGGTTATTTTTCCGTGCAGACCAGGAAGCTGCCTCATTTAAGCGACCCTGTCCTGTCGACTTATCCGCATTCCCAACACTTGTTGCTATTTTCTGGGATGTTATGTGTCTTCAGTACGTGGGCCAATAATTAGTATCAATTATCTTCTGGCACCAAAACACCATCGAACAATCATCAACAAAAATGAAACGATAATGCATATAATTTTGCCATACACGGCTCCTCCAGAATTGAAACCAGTCGAGGTACAGCGTTATTTCCATTGATTTTGTGAAATCTTTACTTGGGGGTTAACATCGAATTTTATCACATTCCCATATAGGGGAATTACTGAATGAATAAATAATGTCCAACAGTCCTAATATGACATAATAATAAACTGAACATATACCATGTAGCCTGCAATATTTACCTTGCTTGGTATGTCAGTCCATCAAATCCATGTATGGCACAGCGATGGATGGAGGTGTAGTCAGTGATAAGAGAAAGGTAATAATTGTTAGCAACTTCTGGGTTGCCATATTTTATTTGATCTAAAATTGAAACACAAGGAACAAGTAAATTATTATATTATTGTCCAGGGTTGTGAGGCTATCAGCATTGTGATATCCCAGGTTCATGCGTACCGCTACCATGGGACAACATTCCTTAGCGAACAAATAGTATTTCAGTGAATTGCCAGAACATACCTGAAGAACCGCCATAAACTTCAATTCTCAAAGATATTTTGCCGTACCAATTCGACTCTATATGCCATAGAATCTACAATTGAGATTACAAGAACATAACTATCACACAATTGAAACTATAATTGTATATGAATCACAAGGGCCTATACAGTATAGTAACAGCATGTATTTTTGACTTCTAAACACAAGAATATACAGAACAAAATGCAGGTTGTTTTTCTTCATATTCACATATTACCCCCAACCCGAAGTTACATATATATTGGTAAATGCAATTACATAATAGGAAAGGGAGAAAAAAAATCTATTTTTTATAACACCAGTGAAATATTGTGTACGCATAATACTTAGCGCTATGACCCATGCTGTCATGCTTCCATCACCAGATATCATGAAATCATCTTGGTTTTTTAATGTTGAAATTAATCCGTTTAATTTAAAAAGCACAAAAATACCACCAAAATATAGCTCGAAAATTTCTAATCAAGAAATTAATCAATATTGCTGTTAACCTGACACTGCAGTGCAGCTCTAAAAATCATATCAAATTACACAGGATTACAAAATGGAAATATAACTCGCCTTTGGAATTTCGTTATTTTCTTCGTTATTTTTTATCCTGTCGTCTTTTAACCGTTACATATAAACTGTAAAGGCATTAGTTATCTTTTCTGATAGGATTTAAGTCAGGATGGGCAGAAAAACTCGAAAAATATAGATTTTTTTATTTGTTATTGTGTATAGCGAGGCGTTGCTCAGCCGCATGCACAAGTGGTTGTCGCGTGAGGTTAGAGGTGTCAAAAACGTAATGTTGCCTACCCCGTGGGGGTAAAATAAGCCCAGAAATCGATTTCTGGGTAAAATTGTCCCTAGAGGTCATAATTGTCAAATTTTCGCTAATATGGTGATAATTATATGCACATTTTCGGGTTTCCGTTTGTAAACACATTTGTTGGAAATATCACTACAAATCGCCAAAGCAACTGTATTTCGAGTAAAATATATGAAAATATTGATCCCAATGTAAGCTACAAATATTTGGAGGTTTTTAGGCGAGATTTTTGGAAGGCTTTGCGTATTTTTGCTTCTCTAACATTCAATTTAAAAAGTACAAGTTCTGCAATAAATATCTTGGCTTATAGGAAAGCTTTTGAAATGAACTAAAGTTATACAAATAGGTAAATGTTTTTTCTTTAAGATAATACAATTTCTAGTTGAATTGATAAAACACTTCCAGATAAAACCGAAATTATCTGTGTGCGCCGTTTACGACCGGACAGCAATGAGTTTAGTGGTCTCATATTTATTAAAATGGGTGAAGTATTCGCAGAGTAATCACAAGTTTAAATGAGCTTACCACTTTGAAATATCCTCTGATCGGACGTCTAACTGAGAGGATCCCTTAAACATCGAGAATACTTCATTAACAAGTGCCGCATTCTGTCCTGTTTGAGAAGGTACAAGAACTTCATCTTGGGTATTGGTTACTCTTTGCTCCGTTGGAAGTTCCATTCTGTTGTATGAGGACAACACTTGTAGTTGGTGTGATGAAAGGATGCAGATTGTCCGTTGGATGTTGTGCTTTTGTATTTGAGACGGACCACATTAGATATCAGCGCGAAATTGACACATTCATGGGATTCGAACCCATGAACTCCTAAAAAGGAGTATCCGCAAAATGTGTTCTTTGTGTGGCCAGGAAAAAGAGAGAGCTACAGGGCTTCTCCCAAACCGACTGGCAGACAATACGAAACGTAGAGGACAAGACAGTACAACACAACACAACACAAAACACACAACCGACGACACAACATCCAACAACCCACAACCCACTAACTCTGTAGCTGAAACGACAAAAAATATGGTGAGTTGTTCCTAGAAAATGAAGCATCACAATTAGCATGAAGGCAATTGCTGGCTGGGGTTTAACTGACGGCATGGATATGGGGTGGCTTCTTAGGGTTGGATACTGAAACTAAACTACGATCGTCTTTGTCTGAAAAACACAAAAAAAAATTATTAGTAGCTCCCTAGAAAACGAAAAGCAAAACACAGTTAGACAAGCAGTGAGCCGTGTTTCCAGATACGGGGACAGAGATTCTTAGCTAACAGCGGGGCCACGGGGTCTACTTCTATTTAAAAAATTAATTATACATACCTTGATCCTACCTAAAGAAAGAACTCACTTACCTGAGAAAAACGGTCGCAGACGGCTCTGTTTTATAGCCTGTAGGCTCTTGCATAATTCAGCAAAATTAAGACAACTTGATTGGTTATTTCTGTACACAGGTCAATTTGTCATTGGTCAATTTTTGTACTCCACGATTGGTTCAATAAAAACCAATCAGATTGGTTAATCTATATTCAAAATTTGATACCGTTTCTTTGATATTTGCAAGGTGATTGCACAACAAATGTTCGATTTCACACGTTTTGGAGCATATTCCAAGCCAATGTATCACAGTATGAGTGTATTTGTTCGATTATTTCTCTCATGAAGTTCACAAGAAATTACAGTTCAATCATTATTAAAAGGCTTTATTCCCCTACCAGCTTTAGAACCCCATCGAACAGGAAAGTCGGAATTTAAAAGGCAAGTAAATCTTTCAAACTGTTGTAGCACTTGAATTCTGTGGTACATTTAACTACTGAACCTTTCAGAATATTGTAGAATTGGGCATGGCATGGAATAATAGTAAATATAGCAAACTGACAAATTCGCAAATGTAGTAAATTTCAAGGCTAAATATTGCAAATTCCAGTGGAAATACGGCGTTTTACCGCCATGCATACATAGCTATTCACAGCTACGATATTCACGTGTTGTATATATTCAATATTACACATCAAAGCGGCCTAATTCTTTGGATATTGCCCAAATGCAAACGAAAACCGGTTGCAGTGGTTTAGCTCACATATTCAGGATTATTTTGATATCTTTAGCGTCAAAATCAAGCCTTTAGAAGATTTTTGCCCATTTTTTATATAAACATACCTGATGATATGAATTATCGCATCACCGGCAATAATATTTCACAATAATAAAAATTTCGGGCCAAAAGCCGAAAATCTGACCTAGGTCCGATTCGAGCTTGCCTTAAGCACGTGATTAGCAATGATTATCGCTTAGAACTTATAAAATGCTCTTTCTTTGATTATTTTGCACATACTACACCAAGAATTACTCAGAATTAAAACAGAATGATAACATGTCAAATTCTAGACATTTTGAAGACAACAGAGACCAAAAAAGCGAAAAAATATGGAATTTCCAAAATATATCTTGCAATGGGTGAGTAATTTCAGATAACAAAGCAAGCTATTATTTTAATTCTTATTTTCACGTATAATACAAATGCAGGTTATAACTATATGCTGGTTGGAATATACTATTCAAAGAATCGTTTTAACCGCTATCGTTTACTGGTATTCCGGGGTCTTTAGCCCAAATACTTGCTGAGATATTTAATGTTTTTCTTCTGTGCGACAATATTGTCAGGAGTAATAGCCTAATAGGGACCAGACGGGAATTACATATTATAGTACTTGTATATAATAATTGTAGGAAAAAAAATATTCCCTGTGATATATCTTCATAGGAAAAAGTATCAAAACGGATTATTTTCAACATTAAAAAACCAAGATTATCTGATGATATCTGGTGATGGCAGGCATGACAGCATGGTTCTTAGTGCCAACTACTTCGCAGGGCCACGTGTTATGCCTACACCATATTTTGCTGTACAGTTCCATCATTCATTTTACACTGATGTTATAAATATTTTTTTTTATTCTCCCTTTCCTATTATGTAATTGCAGAACGAATATTCAATATATTAGTGTACCACATAAAAACTCATTATGACAATGGCTATCGGACGTCTATTGCATCGGAGATACGACTTGTGGTAAGCCAAATTCAATGTTATTTCTTGCGATTTTTCTATGATGTCTTACATTGTTTTTTTGTAAAGATTCTTCAATGTTTTCTCAGTCTGCGAGCTGACAACGTCAAGGCCTTGTGCAAGACAAAAGTGGAAAAGTCAAATTCACTTCGTATGTTAATTGTTCTGAAAGGAAAACGTTGGTTAATGATGATAGTGCAAGGCATGTCAGCTATTCTGCTTCCAAAATTCCTTTTCTTGTTAGTGTAATACATTCTCATTTTTTTTTTAGTTCTGCAGAAGATAAGACAACCGGGATTGTTTCACTGCCTTACAGCGAGGCGATGAATGTTATTCCTGTGTGCTTACAACAGGTAAACTTTTCTATCATAATATATCATCTGGCATTAAGTTTCGATTGAAGTTCAACTTTCTTCATTTTCTAGAAATTGGAATGGGAGGTGTTGGATGTTGTTCTGAGAAACTTTCCGGAGGCACTGCAAGATAAAAACTTGATACATTCTCGAAAGCACTACTTACGTTCAATATGTACAGTGTTATCTAAAATGGTAAGGGATGTAAAGTTGTGCACTTTTCACACCAAAATCATGAACTAAAAATTTTACTTTGCATTCAGGTTTGAAATTATGATTTTCTTCCTGGATTATTTCGTGTTCCTCATGATATGCGCCGACCTCATTTGTACGCTAGAATTTTTCCAGTACGGTTCTTATCATTCAGTTTTTTGCATCTATCATAATATCTTACCATAACTATACCAAAACCATACCATACCATAACCATAACCATACCACATCATATCATATAATCATATCATATAATCATATCATATAATCATATCATATAATCATATCATACCATAACTAACCATAACCAAATCATACCATACGATAACCATATCATACCATACGATAACCATATAATCCCAAAATTATATCACACCATACCATACCATGACCAAATCATACCATACGATAACCATATCATACCATAATTATATCACACCATACCATAGCATAACCAATTTATACCATAATTATATCATACTATACTAATGATTTAATTGGATATTTTATTGTAACATGTGCAGGTATTAACAGAGCTGTGTACGTACCACATTTTTATTGGGCAAGATGAACAGGTAAGAACCTGCTTCACTTTATTTTCAGCGGTTGTCTGTTCTCGCTTAAACGTTGTTGTATATTTCGTCTAGTTTTGTCTGATGCGTACTTTGGAGATTGGTTTGGTTGCTCATTCCACGACGTTAAGCGTATCTTGTCTCACCATATGTATGTTAGGAATGTCTTCAGTTATGGCAAGGTATGGCTACTTAAGATTGTCTGGAATTTGAGACGTTTTTTATGTCCATTAGCACTTTGTAAAGAATGAAGTTGATTTAAGTAATTGCAGCGTTTTAGAAGTTTATTACTTTGGAGATATTTGAAATCGTGCCTTGATAATGTGCTCAGTGAATTTACAGAAATGTTTTTCAATAAACTCCAGCCTAAATGTAACGTCTCTTGTTATGCGAGATACTCCTTCACAAGATTATTTGGGTAATAATTTCTAAATTTTCTGTCCTTAGGCTGCTCCCAACATATCTGGAAAAGTTTACTAAACTTTCGCCAACGCCTCAAGTTGTCATACCACTGTTAGAATTTCTCTCTGGTATGTTTCTTGAAGTTACGTAAATTAAGAAATCTTTTATGAAATATCAATGTACCCCCTAAGGAGAGCTAGGTTGTATAAACACTCAATCGTATTCGACGAAAAGTTGCTAACATTCTTTTAAAACGTTTAAATAGCATTGTCAAAGCTTCGTGATTAGTACAAAAACTTCACAGCGATCCATTTGAAACAAGTCATTGGAATATGTTTGCCTCACACAGCATCATCGAGGTTTGTTTAACGCGATAACATCTCAAACTTTTTATTATTGGCTTTGTGAAATTGAATAAAATATAAACGAACTGATATGTTTCACCTTAGATACTCTCAATACACGGTAACTCTTGCTGATAATGTCATTTCATCCTGGTTTGTCAACTGTCCACTGTTGTTAAGAAAACAATTCGTGCCATTGATTACAAAAGTAAGTCCACATGTCATTCTATGGCCACGGAGATTGCTTGCTAAATTTTCAATAGATATTAAGAAGTGGTGTTTAAACTTTATACAGCTTAGGCAGTGTTGTTACATAAACTTGTCCATTTCATGTTACATAATTTTGCTTATATGCAAGCTCGTTTTCAATCATTTGTCCTTGTATTCCTTTAGAGTCTTAACAACGCAGATATATCTTCAGATGCTGCAAACCCATACCCTTAGTCACTAATCCCCCCACCAAATTCCATTCACTCCCAAACTCCCTTGAGAAATCAAAGGAAGACTCAAGCAACACACTTAGTTCAGAGATGATGGAAATCGTGGGTGATATGATGGTCAAATATACATTTTCTTCTTATTTGACCCAACCAAAAAGGTCTGTATGTTGGTTTCGTATTTTTCTGCACTGTGTTTCAGGGAAGATGACTATTTTGTTGTTTTTATAGAACTGCAGTTGTTGAACGACTCCTGCGCAATGGAGCGTCAAGAAGTTGGTTGCTTGGCAATGTGTTGATCACGGTTACAGTCAACAAGCAGGCAACTTCGAACATGTCATGCGCATATTGTTCGGCAGGAAAAGTGTTTGTGTGAGATGATTCACTGCAGAAGGGCACGGAGCCTGAGGTTTTAAAAGTTGAGCTTAAGAGAAACAAAAACGAGGCCTCAATTAGTCAGGTAAGGAAAATTCTTTCAGTATCATTGTTTAAATTGGCATACACTGTCTGCCCAGCGTATTCATGCTTAAACAACAAAATATATTTGCAAGAGCGACCAAGTTTTAATATTCTTCTAGTGAAAGCTCTTAGGAACGTATTTGACATTTCCATTGATAACGACAGTAATATCGTGTGTTTGAACGTTAAAGATGAACTCAGGGATATTCTAAACAATACAAATTATGGCCCTAGAGTTATTTCCGATAAAAACCTGTCGAAGTTGGTTCGTCATATTGCAATGCATGTTAAATAAATTTGGTCAGTAACTTAGGGTAATTTAAATGTCCGGATGTGATATTGACGGTATACGAATGTTTTTCTTTTTAAGATTGCGTCAGTTATTCACCAAAATCAGAAGAAAACTACAGATACCTAGGCTGTAATTGGTTACAAAGAATACGTCAGATCAAGAGGATTCGAGCTAGAGTTTCTCATGCGGTACCGGAACAATGTAGGTCGCTAGACTTAAGGAAAGACGCTCGTAATATAATAGATTTTACAAAATATCCTTTGGTAATTCTTATGAGTTGCAATAAAACCTTTACAATTGTTCATCCTTCACTGATGAGCTCAGAATGTTTCGTTATCACGTGGTCAATGCACGACTCTTGCCCTGGAGGAGGAACCCAATCCGGATATAAATGACTTTTTTATCTAAAGTACTTCACGGAAATGCCTTCAGTTGAAATATGAAGAAAGTCGGGCTGATGTTTCAAAGATTTTATGACGCGAAGTTGAATCTTGGTTCATCGTTTCTTCAACGAAACGGGCACTGATAAGACTTCACAGATAAGATATCACAGTGGAAGCCAGTGCTCTTTCGCTGTAGCTTGCCTAGCGGCACAGAGGTCTCAACAGATGGTAGG